AGGGTTTAATATCCAAAATATTAAGAACGCATATAACTTAATAGCAAAAAACCAAACAATCTGATTGAAAAATGGTCAGAGGATCTGAATAAACAATTTTCCACAGAAAACATACAGATGGCCAACAGGTACATGAAAAGGTGCTGAACATCACTAACCATCACAGAAATGCAAATCCAAACCACATAGAGCTATCACCTCACACCTGTTAGAATGGCAAGAAATAAATGTTGGCGAGGGTGTGGAGAAAAGAAACCCCCGTACACAGCAGGTGAGAATGTAAACTGATGTAGCCACTATATAAAACAGTATGGAAGTTTGTCAAAAAAATTAAAACTACAATCTGATCCAGCAACTAAACTTCTGGGTATTTGTCCAAAGGAAACAAAATCACTATTGTGAAAAGAAAGCTGCACTTCCCTGTACGTTGCAGCATTATATACAATAGCCAAGACATGGAAACAATTTATAAATCCATGTATCCATCAATGGATGAATGGAAGAAGAAAATGTGATACACACAGTGGAATATTATTCAGCCACAAAAAGAAGTAAATCTTGCCACTTGCAATAATATGGAAGGGACTTGAGGGCATTTTGCTAAGTGAAATAAGTCAGTGAAAGACAAATACTGTTTGATTCCACTTATATGTGGAGGGAGGAAGGAAGGGAGAAAGAAACAGAGAAAGAGAGAGAGAGAGAGAAAGGGAGGGAGGGAGGAAGACAGAGAAAGAAGAAAGAAAGAAAGAAAGAAAGAAAAAGAAAGAAAGAAAGAAAGAAAGAAAGAAAGAAAGAAAGAAAGAAAGAAAGAAAGAAAGAGAAAGAAAGAAAGGAAGGAAGGAAGGAAGGGAAAGAAAGGAGAGAAAGAAAGGCGTGAACTCACAGAGAACAGCGAGAAGCAGTAGGTGCGTAAAATGGGTGATGGAGGTCAAAAGGTACAAAATTCTGAATGAAAACAGAAATCAACCACAGAAAGAAAAATGTGAAAAGAACAAACATGGGGAGACTAAACAACATGCTACTTAAAAATCAATGAGTCAACGATGAAATCAAAAAAGGAATCAGAAAATACTTCAAGGCAAACGAAAATGATAACACAACCTTACAAAATCTATGGGATACAGCAAAACAGTGTTAAGAGAAAAGTACATAGGGATACAGGCCTTCCTCAAGAAACAAGTAAAATCTCAAATAAACAACCTAACCTACCACCTAAAAGAATTAGAAAAAGAAGAACAAACAAAACCCAAAGTCAGCAGAAGACAAGAAATTATAAGATCAGAGATTGAATAAATAAAATAGATTAAAAAAAACCCAGAAAAGATCAATAAAACCAAGAGCTGTTTATTTTGAAAAGATAAAATCGAAAAACCTCTAGCTAAGCACACCAAGAAGAAAAGAGAGAGGACCCAAATAAAGAAAATAAGAAATGAAAGAGATGTAACAACAACCAATACCACAGAGATACAAAAAATCATACAGAATACTATGAAGAGCTGTATGCCAAAACACTGGACAACCTAGAAGAAATGTACATCTCTAAAAATATACAGTCTGCCAAAACTAAGTCAAGAAGAAACAGATCATTTGAACACACCAATCACTAGATGTGAAAGAGAATGTGTAATTTTAAAATTCTGTCAAACAAAAATCCAGGACCAAACTGCTTCACTGGGGATTCTAACAAACAAACAAAGAAGAACTCATAACAATCCTTCTCAAACTATTCTGAAAAAATGAAAGAGGAGGGAACCCTTCCAAATTTATTTTATGAGGCCACCATCACCCAGATACCAAAACCAGACAAAGGCATTACAAAAAAAGAAAATTATAAGCCAATATCTTTGATAAATTTAGATGCAAAAATCCTCAACAAAATATTAGCAAACTGAATCCAACATGACATAAAAAGGACCATGCACCATGATCAACTTGGATTCATTCCAGGGCCAGAAGGATGGTTCAACATACACAAATCAGTCAATGTGATATACCACATTAAAAAAAAGGAAAGGCAAAAACCAGATGATCATCTCAATAGATGCAGAAAAAGTATTTGACAACATTCATTTATGATAAAAATGTTCACCAAAGTAGGTATAGAGAGAGAGGGAACATATTTCAACATATTAAAGGCCGTTTACAGCAAAACAACAGCCAACACAAAATGAACAGTTAAAAGCTGAAAGACTTCCCACTAAATTCAGGAACAAGACAAGGATTCCCACTCTTACCATTTCTATTTAACATAGCATTGACAGTCTTAGCCACAGCAATCAGATAAGAAAAGAAATAAAAGGTATCCAAATTGGAAGGAAAGAGATAAAACTGTCATTAATTGCAGATGACATGATACTCAATATAGAGAACCCTAAAATTGCCACATAAAAACTATTAGAACTAATAAATGAATTCAGCAAGATAGCAGGATAAAAGACCACTATACACAAATTGGTTTCTTTACACTAATAATGATATACCAACAAGAAGAAGTAAAAAAAAAACAATCCCATTTGAAATGGTGTAAAAAAATAAAAAAAAATACCTAGGAAGAAACTTAACCAAGGAGATGAAGATCTATACATTGAAAACTATAAAACACTGATAAAGGAAACTGAAGATCATTCAACGATGAAATGGAATGCCCATGGATTGGAAGAATTAATATAATTAAAATGGCCATACTACCCATTAAATCTATAGATTTAATGCAATTCCTAACCAAATACCTATGACATTAGTCACAGAGCTAGAACAAATATTCCTAAAATTTATATGGAACAACAAAAGACCCTAAATTGCAAAAGCAATCTTGAGACAGAAGAACAGAGCTGGAAATAACATGCTCCCTGACATTAGACTACATTACAGAGCTACAGTAATTAAAACAGCATGGTACTGGAACAAAAACAAATATATAGCTCAATGGTACAAAATAGAGAGTCCATAAATAAACCCATGCACCTACAGTCAATCTTTGACAGAGGAGGCAAGTATATAAGATGGAGAAAAGACAGTTTCTTCAACAAGTAGTGATGGGAAAGCTGGATAGCTGTGTGTAAATCAGTGAAATTAGAACACTCCCTCACACCATATACAAGAATAAACTCAAAATGTTTTAAACACCTAAATATAAGACAAGACACCATAAAAATCCTAGAAGAGAACATAGGCAAAACATTCTAGGACATAAATTGAAGCAATATTTTCTTAGGTCAATATTCAAAAACAAAAGAAATAAAAGCAAAAATAAAAAATGGGACCTAATTAAACTTAAAAGCTTTTGCACATCAAAGGAAACCATCAACAAAACCAAAAGACAACCTATCGAATGGGAGAAAAATATCTGCAAATGATGCTACCAACAAGGAGTTAATATCTAAAATATACAAGCAGGTCATGGAACTCAATATTAAAAAAAAAAATCCAATTAAAAAATGGGCAGAAGACCTAAGTAGACATTTCTCCAAAGAAGATGCACAACATAACTAATTATTAGAGAAATCAAAACCACAATGAAGTATCACCTCACACCTGTCAGAATGACTATCATCATGAAGTCCACAAATAATACATGTTGGAGAGGGTATGGAAAAAGGGAACCCTCCTACATTGTTGGTGGGTATGTAAATTGGTGCTGCCACTATGGAAAACAGTATGGAGATGCTTTAAAAAACTAAAAACAGAGCTACCATATGATCCAGCAATCCCACTCCTGGGCATATATCCAGAAAAGACAAAAACTCTAATTCAAAAAGATACATGAACCTCAATGTTCACAGCAGTGCTATTTACAATAGGCAAGACATGGAAATGACCCAAGTGCCCATCAGGAGACGGTTGGCTTAAGAAGATGTGGCATACACACACACACACACACACACACACACACACACATATAAATGAGTCATAAAACAGAATGACATAATGCCATTTACAGCAACATGAACAGACCTAGAGATTATTATACTTAGTTAAGTAAGTCAGACAAAGACAAATACTATATGATATCACTTTTATGTGGAATCTAAAAAAAAAATGAATCTATATACAAAACAGAAACAGACTCACAGACATAGAAGACAAACTTATGGTTACCACAGGGGAGGGACTAATTAGGAGTATGGGATTAACAGATTCAAACTACTATACATAAAATAGATAAGCAACAAGGTTTTACTCTATATCTCGGAATTATATTCAGTATCTTGTAATAACCTATAATGGAATATAATCAGAAAAAATAACTGAGTCATTATGCTGTACACTTGAAACTAACACACTATTGTAAATCAACCATAATTTATAATATTTTAATTCTTCAATTTAATAAATAAATATATATATTTTAAAATACAAATTATAGTTATAAAATAAAGAATTCGTGGGGACTTAATGTACAGAATGATAAATAGAGTTAATAATACCATAATGTATATTTGAAACTTGCTAGAAGAATAAAGCTTAAAAGGTCTGACCACAAAAAAATAAAGCTTGTAACTACGTGTGGTGATGGATTTTAAGTAGAAGTATTGTAGTGATCATTTTAGCTTTATTATTGTAGTATTTTAAAGTTATTAATAATGCTTTTCCATTCAATGATTACATAAAATCTATGCTAATATTCTATTCACCATTTTATTTAATAATAAAAAACTCAGAATATTGGGGGGAAATATCAAAAAGTATCACTACTGTAATTAGTGATATAGGTCACAAATATACAGTGAAAACATTATCCCAAACACACAAACATAGAATAAATATTTCGCTCTCAAAGGAATACAATAGATTCTAATAGTCAGAGGATATTACAAACTTTGAAAGTTTCAATACTGTAAATAAATATCAATATACAGATATTATTGTAGCTGTAGCCTACAATCAACATTTTGGTTATTTAATGGAATTTCTAAACTTTAGTCATGTGCATGCGTGAACACACACACTTGTGGACACCATAAACAAAAATTTAATAATCAACTCTAGTAACCAGTTACCTTGGCAATAATAACTTCTTTCTTCAGAATCTTCATAGCATAGTATTTTCCACTTGCTTTCTCTCGAACCAAAATAACTTTCCCAAAAGTGCCTTTACCTAGTAGTTTCAAATAGTCAAAATCATTCATTGTCTGAAAAATACAAATGAAAATACATAATATGAAACATTTGATGCAATTTATTTGTAAACTTATATGTATATATTTGCATTATCTACTCAAAATCAAATTTTACCAACTTCTAAGCACACTTAAATGATGAAGAATCAGAATGGCATTGGCTTTCTCATCACCAATCATGGATGCTGGAAATAATTTAAGCAATTCTCAGATAGTGGAGACAATAATTTTAAACGTAGAATCTCACAACTACTCAAATTATTAGTAAGGGCAAAGGGAAAATAAAATCATTTTCACTCACTTCCAAGAACTCAAGTTTCTAAGGATTTAGTAGTGCCACTACTCCCAGACAATGTGACAATCAAAAATGTCCTCCACAAACATTTCCAAATATATCTAAGAGAAAAGGATTGAAGGGAGTGTTTGAGAATGTACTATATCAAAATAAGGATGGACTCCAAGAAAGAGAAAGATACATGTATAAGAAATGTTGAAAACAATTCTGAAGCCCAGTGCAAAGAAACAGAAGAACAACAGCAATATATCTTCTGAGAAAGCAACTGGTCCAATGCAGAAGAAGGAGTCATGGAACTCTGAGAATGTCTTTAATCTGCCTGTTTTCAGTTTCATTTCTCATTCCCATTTCTAAGTAGTAGGTGATTACCAGGATTTTGCCAAGCAGAATTACTATTGCTCCCCATAGCCCTCTCTATGAATGCTTTTCCTACTCTATTTATCCACAAACTTCCAAAATTTTGATAATGTTTCTCCACTAGTGTCCTTCCCTCATACAGCTTTTCATTTTTGTGGACTTGTCCCTTTTAAAAATTCCTCTGCTATTATTTTAATAGGCTTTTAGATGAAAGAGGAGGTATGCTCAGTTTATCATCTTAAATTTAAATTCAGTTTAGAGGGATTTAAAAATAACAATTTAAGGATCTGGGGTTTTATCCTACCAACAATCAGAAGTTATTGAAGATTTTTGTGCCTTTTTAGAAGTATTTCTTTCCTCTTTACCACCCATTTGAAGTAAATGTCAGAAATGTCTCAAACCGATGACCTCAGCTTCTACCTTAAGAAACTAGAAAAACAGCAAATTAAACCCAAAAGAATTAGAAGAAAAAAATAATAAAGATCAGGGCAGAAATCAATTAGGGACTTCCCCAGTGGTCCAGTGGTTAAGAATGCATGCTTCCATTGCAGGGGGTACGGGTTTGATCCCTGGTCAAGGAAGTGGATTCCTACATGCTGTGTGCATGGCACAATGTGGCCAAAAAAAAAAAAAAAAGAAAGAAAAGAAAAAATAAATCAATTAAATTTTAAGAAGAAATAAAAGGAGACGAGGTCACGATGGCGGAGGAGTAGGAGGACGTGGAGTTCATCTCTCCCTACAAATGCATCAAGAATACATCTACAAATGGAACAAGTCTCACAGAGCTCAGGCTGAAAGTTAGCAGAGGACCTCGGTCACCTAAAAGGACAAGAAATCCCCATGTAACTGGGGAGGATGAAAGAAAGAAGAAGCAAAAAAGAAGAGAAGAGGTTGCCACATCTTGGGAAGCCCCTCACCGCAGGGAGATCAGTTGGCACAGAAGAGGAGTTTCGGGGACTATTGGAAGAGAGTGCAGCACCCGGTCTGTGGCAGGCAGGACAGAGTGAGACCTACACAGATGGTCTGTGTCACAGCCCTGTGTGCCCCAGCCTGAGACGTGTGTCCCAGTGTGGAAAGGGGCTGGGTGCTGGAATATGGGATTTGGGGAGCAAATCCAGTGAGAGGATTGCTGTTGGCTGTGAGGAGACAGCATGAGGAGACGGGAGTGAGGAAATCCACAACTGGGAATGCTTGTGGAGGAAACTCAGACTGCCATAGCAGGAAAGGGCCATTGTTAAGTGACACAGAAGGGGAGGAGCTGCCATTGCAGCCTTTCTCCCCATGCACTGGCCCTTGCCTCCCTGGGCACTAAGAAGGGCCCCCAAGGGGGCCAGCTCTCTCACGGCCTCTGGCTTCCCTACATGCCTCATCAATGCCAGGGAAGGCTCTCTTGCACCCATGGTCGAGCACTACGAAGGGCCACCACTGGGGCCAACTATTTCATGCCTGCGGCCACCAGTTTCCCCATGCACCCGTTGCCACCAGGGGTCCCGTGACCCTGGCTGCTACACAGCCTCTGAGCCCCCTCCTCGCCAGGGCAAACTCATATGCTCCAGGGCAGCCTCACAAGCAGACCCACACACAGAGGTGGGGTTGTAACCACAGCTAAGCCCCAGGGGACATCAACTAAGGAAGAAAAGCTGAAATCTCTCCTTGTAGCTGTGCAAACTGTGAAATGACATCTCCAAGACTAGCCTTGTACACTCAGAGCCTACAGAACATCTGAACAAACAAGCAGTGCTCCCACAGAAAACACAGGCTTAGCTTTAGCAGCTGTAGATTCTGTTGGCACATACACATCTAGGTTGGGCCAGGCTAAGGATGGAAAATGCACCATAGCCCAACAGTGGGTCCAGATACATGATTACTGCAATCCTGGGACCTGACTTCAGTGGATCTCTGTAAATTTAAGAAAACTGAAATCATATCAAGCATCTTTTGCGACCACAACACTACGGGATTAGATATCAATTACAGGAAAAAAACTGTAAAAACAACAAACACATGGAGGCCAAACAATACGTTACTAAATAACCAATGGACCACTGAAGAAATCAAAGAGGAAATAAAAACATATCTAGAGACAAACGATAATGAAAGAATGATGATCCAAAACCTATGGGGTGCAGCAAAAGCAGTTCTAAGAGGGAATTTTATAGCGATACAATCTTAACTCAGGAAACAAGAGAAACCTCAAGTAAACAATCTACCTTTCCACTTAACACAACTCAACAAAAAAGAACAAACAAAACCTAAAGTTAGTAGAAGGAAAGAAATCATAAAGATCAGAGCAGAAATAAATGAAATAGAGACAAAGGAAACAAAAGCAAAGATCAATGAAACTAAAAGCTGGTTCTTTGAGAAGACTAATAAAATTGATAAACCTTTAGCCAGACTCATAAGGAAAAGAGGGAGAGGACTCAAATCAATAAAATTAGAAATGAAAAAGGAGAAGTTACAAATGACACCACAGAAATACAAAGGATCATAAGAGACTACTACAAGCAACTCTATGCCAATAAAATGGATAACCTAGAAGCAACAGACAAATCCTTAGAAAGGTACAATCTCTTAAGACTGAAACAGAAAGAAATAGAAAACATGAACAGACTAATCACAAGTACTGAAATTGAAACTGTGATTAAAAAACTTCCAACAAACAAAGGTCCAGGACCAGATGGCTTCACAGGTGAATTCTATCAAATATTTAGAGAAGAGTTAACATTTATCCTTCTGAAACTATTCCAAACAATTGAAGAGAAAAGAATACTCCCAAACTTGCTCAACAACACCACCATCACCCTGATACCAAAAGCAGACGAAGATAACACAAAAAAAGAAAATTACAGGCCAATATCACTGATGAACATACACACAAAAATATTCAACAAAATATTAGCAAATCAAATTCAACAACACATTCAAAGGATCATAAAGATGGCAGACTACAAGGACATGGAGTTCGCATATCCTCACAACTAGGGCACCTACCATGTGGGGGACCACGGAAACCTAAGGGGACAGGAGGAACACCACAGCAACAGAGTAAGACGTGGGGGGGAGGGAGGAGGGAGGAGAAGTGGAGGCAGGATGGAACTGGAGCCTTGGAGGGGCGGCTGGGGGAGGGAAGGGGTTCCCACTCTTAGGAAGCCCACCCACAGTGAGGGGATCAACAAGGATGGCGAAAGACTATCGGGAGAACAAAGGATTGGAAGGGAATGCAGCCAGTGTTTCCCCTGCCCACTTGGGCCCCAGAAAGCCTGCTGAGGTCCTAATCATCTGATCTCTGTGGTTCCCTCCAGCCATGCTAAGTATAAGCCCCGCCCCCACCCAGAACCTTACCTCTGCACTTCACACTCCAAGACCCCCTCCGACCAAGTTGGGCCTAAACCTTGCCCCCGCACCTCCACCAAGTGCCTTACCTCTGAACTCTGCACTCCGAGGCCCTCTCCAGCAGTGCTGAATATTCAGGTTGCATGGGTCCTGAGCCTAGGTCCCGCCCCCTGCCTAAACCTCGCTCTCAACTAAGCCCCGCCCCACCCCCACAGCCAAGGCCTTTTCCAGCATTTTTTTTTCTTTTTAAGGTTGTGGTTCCATTTTATTTTGTTGTTTCATTTTTATTTTTTCAAATAAATTTTGAAATTTTTCTAATTTTATTTTATTCTTTATACATTGTTATTGTTCTGCTCATTTTGCATTTCTCCCGCCCACTTATTTTTTCTGTTGTGGTTCTGTTTTACCTTGTTTTAGTTGTTTCACTTATATTTTTTTTCCTAATATATTTTTTTCTAATTTTATTTTATTTTTTATTGTTTGTTTTTGTACTGCTCCTTTTTTTGAATTTTATTTATTTTTTTTCTACAGCAGGTTCTTATTAGTTATCTATTTTATACATATTAGTGTATATATGCCAATCCCAATCTTCCAATTCATCCCACCACCACCAACCCCCACCAGCTGCTTTCCCCCGGTGTCCATAACGTTTGTTCTCTACATCAGTCACTCTATTTGGTCCTTTTATTTTCTTCTCTTTTGCCACACTGCGTGGTTTGAGGGATTTTAGTTCGCAGGCCAGGGATCGGGCCTGAGCTCCTGTGGAGTGTGCGCCAAGCCCAAACCACCAGACTAACAGAGAACCTCAGACCACAGGAAATATTAATCAGACTGAGGTCTCCCGGTAATCCTCATCTCAACACCAAGACCCGGCTCTAAACAAATGCCTGTAAACTCCAGTGCTGGGTGCCTTGGGCCAAAAAGCCAGTAAGACAAGAACACAGCACCACCCAACAAAAAAAATAAGACGACAAAAAAATATGTTACAGACGAAGGAAAAGGTAAAAACCTACAAGACCAAATAACT